AACAAAAAAAAAAAAAAAAAAAGTCAAGGGTAGAATGGGAGACCACATACAATAATAGAAGCTCACAGAAAACACAAGAACAAAACCCAAACAACCAATTCAAAAGCTCCATTCTTCAAAAAATAAAATCACAATAATAACACTTCAAGATTTCAAGCATGCTAACAAATGTCCTGTGAATGGCATCACAAATGAGACATCCTCGCAAAATTATCATGAAAGGTGATCTGGTTAAAAATAAAGGGATCGGAATGAAAAATATAATTGAAAATAGGTTTCTATCATGAAAAAAAAAATTAATTAATTAATAAGTAGTTTGTTGATGAAAAAAAAAGTGTTTTGACAGTATAATTTATATTAAAAAGAAACAATTTTCAGATCAAAAACAGAATTTTACTGCTTTCATATGAAAGCAAAAGGCAGAGATCAGAACCGTTTATTCAAAAAGGCAATTTCCTGCAGCTATTTTATAACTAGTGACGAACCCTTTTCAAAGATCATAGCTACAAAATTACAGAGAAAGGAAGAATTGAACTTCCCACCAAGGTTAGTCTAAGAACTTAATTGCCATGTCCTTTTTTAACTCAATGTGTCCAACCCAGAGAAACAAAACGCGAATAAACACAAGAATTCCTCAAGTAATAAATGTAGTCTACCTTCCAAATGCTCCATTACTAGGCCGGAAGATCTCGAGAGCTGCATATCGGTGCGAATCTGAGATCGGCTGAAAAATGATTGCAGCTTGGCAGATCGAAATCCAATAAAGTAGTACCAGAAATCGAACTAGGTTTCTGGCCATTGCTGCAAAAGAACAGAATTGAAGAACATTAATATACGATCCTATGAATACAACAGATCACGAAATTCCTACATTTCCCAAGTGATTCCATACTGAATTTGACAAAAGAAATAAGCAATGTGTGTGTAGAACCCTAGTGTATAGATCGTATACAAATCGTAAAGAGAAGCTAACCCAAAGAGGGTGGTCGCGCGGTCAACTGTGGGCGAAAAAGGGTGATGCAGCGCGAAGAGGCGTAAGCTGATTTATAAAGGTTTTTTCTTCCTTTTTTTTTTTTTCTTTTATTTTATTAATACTAAATTTTAAATTTAATTTATGCAAAATATTCCATTTTTCACTTACGAGATGTTTTGGATCATTGTTGGTAATGGGCCTAACGGCCCAAAATGTTTGGGCCTTCGCGTTGTTTATATGGTCTTTTTCGATGCCATTCTCGACTAAATCAGTGACCGAAAACGATAAGTTGCCACACGTTGAAGAAAAATGATATACTTTAACCGACATTAAACTCACTGCCCGCAAATATTGTCCATTTTGTTAACCCAAACTCCCGTCATTCAGTTAACATGAATTTGTAACAACCTAATCTCACCGCTTGCAAATATTGTCCATTTTGCCCCGTTATACATCGTCGTCAGTCTCACAATTTTAAAACGCGTCTATTAGAGAAAGGTGGGGTTGAAAAAAAATGAAATATAGTGGAATCTGTAACAAGGCAAGCTCACTGTTCATTACGTATAGTCGTTAGTCTCACCATTTTGCAATATTTCTACTAGGAAGAGATTTCCACACCCTTACAAAGAAAAATGTTTTATTTTATGATATCTTACGTTGGTTGGGGAGGAGAACAAAACACCATTTATAAGGGTGTGGAAACCTTCCCCTGGTAGATGCGTAAGCGTTGAGGGGGAAGCCCGAAAGGGAAAGCCGAAATAGGACAATATCTACTAGTAGTGGATCTAGGCCGTTACACATTCTCATCTCCAACCGATATAAGAGAATCCAACCAAACATACGAGTGCTATCGACATCAAATTCGGCTCACCCTTACACTAGCAACGAGACCAAATCCATCTCGATCGAGAAACCAAATGGCTCATTACACATCTCTCCATCTAAAAGAAAAAAAAGTGAGTGTTCATAAGATGACATTGACACATCACAAATTTCAATTAATAAAGCTTTAGATCATTCGCCAATTGACAAGTTGGGCAAAGCAAATTGAAGGGCTGAGAGGAAGCATTTCCCTCACAAGCAGGGCAGACACCACCATATGCTCTGTTTTCAGGCCTCCATTCAACTCTCCTTTAGTAGTCAAATACACTCATTACCAACCCATTTGTTCTTCACCCACCTCTCTGCCGTGGAGACTCTGCCAAAACAACCCTTTTACAGGATCGATTCACTTATTACATTAACCTAATTGCTCTGTTTTTAATCAAACAAAAGTAATTAATCTCATACAATCAAATGTTTTGGTATACAAATCACACAATAACACTCTAAATCTACTGTTTTTTAAGTATTACAATCCGGGTCTGTCGAAATTTCAACCTCTACGACTTACGAGAGGCTAACTAATTGAACTATACTCAAATTAGCTCCAAAGGAAAGAAAACAAGTCAAGATCAAGAAGCTCTGTTCTTGTCTTGAGCTGTTCTAAGCTAACTAGACTAAATATGTAAATTAATATATGATTAATTTAATTGGATTGTTGGAAGGTCAGTTGAAAACAAGCCTCTGGAATTTGGTTGCGGTTTGAGAATCCGAATCCTCGCATAGAGACAGAGCCCTCTTCTTGTTGACAATCCCACAATTAGTGTCGGCGAGCGACGGTAGCGGCGGAGGAAGTGGAATTGTAACCGGCGGCAAATGAAACGATTCGAGTGGCGGTGGTGGATGTCTCCATTGAGGAAGTGGTCCAGCGAGGAGAAGTGTGTGTAGAAGTGGACCGGCGTTCATCACTGCCTGCAAGAGCTTACCCTTTTCCGGCAATGGCTTTTCAGGGACCCAGTCGATGATTTCGGGAGATGAAACGATACTCTCATCGCAATCGGAGGAGGAGAAGGCGTTTTGGGAATCGAATCCTTTTCTGGGTTGGTCGTCGATGGTGGAAATTGCAGAGAGAGGCGGCGGTGGATTCGGCGGCGGCGGCGGTGGGTGTTGATGATGGAAGAACAGTTTCTGGAGGAGAAGGGTTTGGCATTTCTCATTGGCTTCGTCTCTTTCTCTAATGGCTTGATTTAAAAGATTCTTGAGATGTAAAAGCTGGTCGTCCTTCTTGTTAAGCTCCTCTTGGACTGTAATTTTGGTCTGTTCAAGCTCCAGAGTGGTGCACAGAAGAGAATGCCTGAGTTCATCGACGTTCTGCCAAAGAAAAAACAGAGGAACCGCAAAATCAAAATCAGAACCGAATTTCGAAATTCTGGGAAATACCCAGAAAAAGTAAGGGAGAATTTGAGAAGATGGGTATGAAACTGACCTTGGTTTGCAAGAAATAAGCCCAAGTTAAAACAGGGCTGCGTTGGTTATCCATGGAGTTAGAGAAAGAAACAGAGGAACAGAGGAACAGAGAAACAGAGAGGGAATTATAATGGGATTTGGATTGGGAGTTTTCAGGGAAGAAGGTTGTTCTTATAAAAAGCACATGGGGTTGGGGTGTGGTTAAATTCTCACTAGGGTTTGGACAAAACAACAAAAGGGTCATGGCTAAGCTGATCTGTAACATATTGTACCGTGACTAGGTTAGGTTGGGTTAGAAGAATGTTCGAGACAGTGATTCAAGCCACTTAAATAAAGTTTACAATTCCACTTAACCGAACCCAACTTATTATTTTTGGGTCAGGTTAGAATGTCGAGTTGTTTTTTTATTATTATTATTTTAAAAACTCTTATTTATTTCTAATATACGTTATATTAATAATTAAATTTTTATAAAATTTAAATATCAAACATTTACCTTACTAATCATACCGTTCTTAAATAAATTTTTAAAAGTAGGGTTACGTTAAGTTGAATTGCAATTCTATTTTCTGGTTGGTTTGATTGACCCACCTAAAAATATAAACGTTTGTAATGTTAAAAATATCTTATCTATTTATAATACATGTTACATTAATAACTAAAATTTCATACATCAAACATTTGCCCGTACATTACAAACATTAAATATTTTAAAGCTTTTTAAAAATAGGGTTAGATTGGATTGGATTGTAACGTTACAAACGTTAAATGTTCTATTTTCTAGTTTATTTGATTCACCCACCAAAAATATCAACCCGTAAATTGAACCTATTTTAAAAAAAATTAAACCTGACGCATGCGAACAAAAAAAAAATTTACCTGATTTGAGTTAAATGGCCTGAGTTAGTCGAGTAATTGACTCGTGTGAACATTTCTAGAACGGTAACCGACTATTTATAAATTTTTATTAAGCTATAAAATCAAGAAAACTAGTTTTTTTGTTTTTGAAATGTTATTGTTGGGAGTAAAAAAGTAAATGCAAAAGCTTTAAACCTTAATTACTCCAAATATTATATAAAAATAAATAAATAAATTAGAGAAAGGAAAAGGTTGATATGACTAATTATAAGAGCTTTATCTGTAATTAACAGTGTTAGTCTAACCTTAAATACTGCTTTATCTTTAATGCTGAAAATAGTGTTAACATTCAGACAGCTCTCTTTAATTAATGTCTCTTAACAGCATCTCTCTTTCAAGCTAATCAATTTTGTGTCACTTTTGGAACATTACATAATGTAATTCTTTTCTTCTTTTCTTTTCTTTTTAATTTGTTCATGTGCCGAGTCGTTTCCGTGAGGATACTGACAAAAAAAAAAAAAAATCGAGCTTATGTAAGTAAATTAACTAGGAGGGGGAGACGAAACATTTGTTACAAGGGTGTAAAAACTTCTCCCTATCATATGCGTTTTAAAACTATGAGGCTGATGGTGATATGTAACGGGCTAAAATGGACAAAATCTGTTAGCAATAGGCTTGAGCTGTTAGAAATAGTATTAGAGTCAGATATCGGGCGATGTGTTAGGGAGGACACTGGACTCCCTTAGGGGTGGATTGTGAGATCTCACATTGGTTGAGAGAGGGGATAAAACATTTCGTATAAGGGTGTGAAAACCTCTTCTTAATATACACGTTTTTAAATTATAATGTTGACGATGATATGTAATGGGTTAAAACGGACAATATCTGTTAATGGTAGGTTTGGGTTGTTAGAAATAGTATTAGAGCTAGACATCGGCTGGTGTGCTAGAGAGGACGTTAGGCTCCCTTAGGGATGTGTGAGATCTCACATCGGTTGACAGAGAGGATAAAACATTCCTTATAAGGGTGTGAAAACCTCTCCCTAACATACGCGTTTTAAAACTGTAAGGTTAACGACGATATGTAACGGGCTAAAACAGACAATATCTGTTAGCGGTAGGCTGAGCTGTTAGAAATAGTATCAAAGCCAGACATTGGGCGGTGTGCTAGAGAGGACGTTGGACTCCTTTAGGGGTGGATTAGATCTCACATCAGTTGAAAGAAAGGCTAAAACATTCCTTATAAGGGTGTGAGAGTAGACTTTGACTATTACACGTAGAAAGTGGTTTTTCACATATTAAATTACTTATGGTCAACGTCCTTCGACGGATACGTATAGATGCAAAATTGGACACGGTGAAATGCAACCGGCACGGGTATAGGCAGGCACGAGTTGATCGTAGGCCGGTGATGATACCAAAAATTACAATTGGGCAACCACCTCTCGTGTCCCATTGTTTGGTGTAATTATATTAGGCATGATGAAAGCAAGTCTCTCATGTGAAGTTGGCATGCGTGCACCATTCTATGACAAGGAAGCGCCAACTTGAAGCATTGGAGGGACACCCAATGGCCAATCTCATCATATATAGAATTTCACACACTATCCTACGTCTTTCGTGGCACACCACCTGGTGTCTACCCCTTTCAGGATTCAACGTCTTCATTGGCACACCGTCAGTGTCTGTCTCTGATGCCATTTGTCTCACTGATAATCGATATTGTTCTCTTTGGGCTTTCCCTTTTTTGCTTCCCTCAAAGTTTTTCAAACGTGTCTGCTAGGGAGAAGTTTCCACACCCTTACAAAGAATATTTTGTTCTCCTCTCGTGAGTTTCATCATTATCCAAGCTCACTATATAGAATCTCATTCACTCTCTGTTCTACACGTATAAG